AACGCGACATCCTCTGACCCCTTTAGAACGAGCCTAGTTACAGTAGCGCAAACAAATGCACGCCAAAGACAGGGAAGTTGTATAGCGCAAGGGAAGGCCGCCTGGCAAGTTGTGTGCTGGGCAAGGATGACGCAGCGCGCAGCCTGAAGCGGAGACTCCGCCCCCTAGTACCGGGGCAGGCAGGTTCTTACCAATCATCGCCGCCCGAGAATTCCTCTTCAGGACACAGGGCGATGAGATTGATGAAGCCCCCAACTACGTGGGGGTTGGTTTCGGGGGGGGAGCGAGAGAGAGAGAGAGAGAGAGAGAGAGAGCTGGTCAGCTCGTCGCAGTCCTGGTCGCCCCCACCCTGTCGTGTCTCGTCCGACACAGGACCGACCGACCGTCTCCCCTTCTACGACCTAAACTCGTCAGCATTTCGCAATCAAGCCAGATTCGGTAAGGGACGTTTTCCCCGCACAGACTTGAAGTTGGGTTAATTAAAGGGGCGGCCGCCTCGCCTTTGCACTCATCTATCACCACTCCTATGCTTCCTACTTTCTCCATCCTATCATCTCCCTTTACATTTCCGTCCGTCATCTACAGTTTCATGTCTCTCCTGTCCTTCTTGTCTTTGCCATCGTACCGCCACGTGCAACGTAGGCGAGAAAAAAACAAGTCTGCCTCTTGTTCGAAGGGACCATGACCAGGGCTGTCTTGATGGGTTGTGTGAGGGTAGTAGAGCAGAGAGAAACAAAACTGTGTGATTGTAAGTGTAAGCATGTTAGTATAGAAGGTAGATCAGGGTTTGGTGGATGCGGTAGAAGTGGTATTGAGGGGGGGGAGGCGCGGGGTTAGGGGTTGGTCTCCGCCATCACCAAAAAAGATCATCCGCATTCTCGCTCCGCTTCCGGCGTGTGTTCAGTGCGGTGGATACTCGTGGCACGCTACCCCCCCCCCCCCACCCCCGCTCAGCCACGACCGTACCACCACCACAGCTAAACCCACGCCTCTCTCGTTCTCTCTCCAAGTCTTCGAGTCGCCATGGGGACCACCATGTCGAGTATGGAAGCCGAGGCTGTGGAACGCGTCCTTGCTACAGTGCCTGACCTTGCCCATGTGGCTGACCCCTTGGCCGTCCTCAGCATTCCGTCGAATGGTATTCTCCCGTCTAACATGAGCCCGGACTTGATGCTGGCCTCTGCTGGTAGTGATTCGTTCCGAGTGAGTGCAAAGCGATTGGAGCAAGAGCAGAAAGAGATGGCAGTGCTGGATCAGGTGGCAGCTCTCTCTCGGGATGCTCCTCCGCAACTACTTGCTCGGCTCCGTGCTCTGCTCACGGGCCTCACGGCGGTCACCATTGCCGAAGACGGCTTTGTCGCCATTGCTGCTCATCGCGAAGCGCTCGGCCTGGCCATCGCCTCCGCCATTGCCTCGGTGTTCAAGTCTTCAGCCGATGCAGAGGCATCGACAGCCTCTCTGCCGGATCCGGACGACTCGCTTCGCCCCGAAGGTGGTGATGCCGGAGGCATGTCCGGGCTTATGGCTGGCATGCTGCCGCAGGCCGGTGCCTCGGCCGCGGATACCCTGGTCATGACCGGCCTCCGGACGCTCCTGCTAATCTCGTCGTCGGTCGCAACATCCTCGCCCGGCCTCCTTGCTGCGCTCCTCGCCGAGTTTTCCGCCACCCTGGCCGCGCTGCCCGACTTTTCGCTTCTCTCGCCGCGCATCCCGCGCAAGCAAGCGTTTGATTTGCAGGCGTCGGGCGTGACCCTGCCCGCCGCCATGGTGACCACGCTCCATGCTTGGCTCGCCACTCTTCCCAGTGATCTGGCCACTGCTGCGCTCGGCCTCCGTGCCTCGCTCGTAGTCCACCGCGGTGAGCTTCCATCGGTCCTTGCCCTCGCCCGAGAGCTCTATTTTACCGACGGCGACGTGCCTGTCGCCGCGCTTGCGCCAGCCCTTGCAACCGTTACCCGCTATGCGCCGCGCCGCCGACTGCCAATTCCGGTTGTCACTGCGAGCGCACCGAAGCCGCTCGAGTTTTCAGTCGAGTCGCACCCGCCTTTGCGGGACGATGGTCCGAAATTCTCGCCCGTGCTCGCCATGGCGGCCGACGGCGCTGTCTTTTGCCACTCTCCCAATGGCCTCTTCCGCTTTGCTGCTGGCCAGACCGGTGAGCCGAGCCACGCGGCCACATCAGCCGACGATGTCGTCTCGTCCAAGTGTGATGTCATTGTTGTCGGCGGCCTTGTCCTGCTTTACCCGGTCGACAGTCGCGGGCTTGCTCCGGTCCTTGCCGCCCACCCCCAGCTGTACTCGACGCTGGACGCCAGCTTGCCACCGACCTTTGTCGCCTATTCGGCAGCCAACCTGAGCCTAGTCGGCTCCGTCTGCGCCGACGGCGGCGGCTCGATCGCCACCGCCAACTTTGCCGACTACCCCATGTGGGCACCGGCCGAGCTCCGCGCCGCTCGTCTCGCCGATGCTGGCATGACCGCCTCCAGTCCGTTCACCGATGGGTCGAGCATCTGGTTTATTGCCTCAACTGCCGCACCCGAGCTCACGGCCGCCATGCGGGCCAAGCATGCTGGTACCATCAACGCCATGTACTTGCCGGCCGCGCGGTTCGAGGCTCTCCGCTTCGGCCTCGGACCCGATGCTCCGCTCCCTGCCGTCACGGTTCTCCACAAGCCAGTCTCGAGCGTCGGCCACGAGCTCTTTGCCCGCTACGACTACACCTCGAGCCGTAGGGTGTACATCGATCCGAGCCTCCGCATTGCTGCGCCTGGTAAGCTCACAAAGTGGTCGATCTCTTCAGGCGGGCGTGGTCCGCTCATCCTCCAAGTCTACCGCCCGCGCGGCAGCAACACCTTTGAGCTTATTGGGCAGAACGTGTTCTACGCCGCCGGCTGCGGAAAAGCCGAGTACAATGTTGCCGACATTGACGTCATCGATGTGGCCGCCGGCGATGTGCTCGGCGTCTATCACCTGGTCGATGAGCGTGGTATCGCGCTCATCAACGGCGCATCGAGTCCAGCCATCCCTGTGTTGCAGCCACCCGAGGGCGGCCTAGAGGTTGGCGGTGTTTACACCTCGTCGACCACAGATGCAATCAAGTTCTGCCTCCGGGCGACAGTCGAACCGAGCCGGACCAGCGAGCTGGCACCCGAGTCTCCCGAGTGCTGCCTTTCCTGGCGGCCAGCGCTTCTGAGCTCTACAAGCTTCTTTGCTGCCACCAATGGCGAGACGCTCGTTGTTGTCGCCGACGACAGCGCCCGAGGCCAGGCTGTCATCAACCCGCGGGTTGCGCGTGTGGTCTTCGAGTTTGCCCTCAGTTCCGGTGCGCTCGTCGAGGCCTATGGTCTAACAGACAACCAGATCCAGAGAAGCATTGCCCGGCTGGGCTTTGCCCCTCTCAACGGCGGCCTCTGGCTGCAGCCGCAGACGGACGCGGCCGATGCGACAGCCCTGGCTGTCATTGCTCCGACCGGTCCTGCTGGCTCCTCGCTCGTGCCGGACATCGAGCCTGCTGCGACCGTCGCTGCTGCCCTCGGCCCGCCGGCGTCTTGGGCGTCTGGCCCTGCCATAGCTGCAGGCCTTGTGGGCCATCTTGCGCGGATTGCCGAGAGTCAGGACGGAAGTGGCACCGCTGCGCCGCTGGGCATTCTGGTCTCGTTTGAGGCTATCGACGAGCTGACCAAGCTGGCGTCGGCAGCTGTGGCCAAGCTCGCCGTCACTCCGTGCGACAAGTCGAGTCAGACCATCCTCACTTCGGCGCTCCGCATCATGCTCACCAACGTGAAGGCGGGCGGATGGCAGACACTGCCGCAGGCCGGCCCAGCGCTCACGGCGGTCCACGCCGCGCGGGCGCTGGTCACCAGCTTGCTCTCAGAGACGGGGCTCGAGTCGGTCCCGGAGCTCTTTGCAACCGTATGCAGTCTTGTAATGCGCATGCTTGAGGCAGGCATGAACGGCCTCTACTCGCGCGCGGATCAGGTCGACTTGCTGGCGCTCTGCGTCCAGGCGCTTATCGGTGTTGAGTCGCTGAGCTCGAGCAGGGCTGCGTTTGGGCGGTCGATGGCGCGTCTATTCCACGATCCACGGGTCGTGGCCCGGCTGTGCCTCAGCGGCACCAAGACACTCGACGTGCTCCCGGCAATGGATGCTATCCAACACATGCTGGATGACCTGCTCGCGCGCGAAATGGCCACTGGGCTGGACCGGAGTGGTGCGAAGCTACGCGCTGCGCTCCAATGTGTGGTTTTTAGCGCCGCGCGCGTGGCGTCAGCAAACCGCGATGCGCTCCTTGCGTTCATCCACGGTCACGTCGGGCAGATGGTGGACCATGTGGCGCAGTGCGTCGACGGCGCGGTGGACGCGCTGGTCGATGGCGACGAGGCTGCCATCCTCGAGCAGCTCAAGACCAAGACCGAGATGGTGGTCGACGTTCTGCCGATGCTGACTCCGCTGCTCGGCAGCGCCGACTTTGTCGGGCCGACGTTTGCCGACGGAGGCGTGCTGAAGAGTTTGGTTGGCCTCCGCGAGCGCGTACTCAAGCTCGAGGCCGCAGCTGAGAGTGTGGCTGCTGCCAAGGGCGCCGAGGGCAGCTGGATGAGCACGACTGAGGTGACAATGGAGCAGGTGGTCGAGACTGCACACCCATACTCCAACGACATGGACGAGTACCAGAGCGTGTGCTTGCCCGGCGCGACGCTGCTGCAGCTCCATTTTGACTCGCGGTGCTCGTCCGAGTCGTCCTGCGACTATCTGCGGTTGTACGCCGCCGACCGGGAGACGCCACTGCTCAACGAGCGGCGGTTCGAGGGCTCAGAGGGGAGCTGGCCGACGACGCCTGTGGTTGTGCCTGGCCCGCTGGTGTACTTTAGATTTGTGAGCGACTCGTCACACGTTCAGTGGGGCTACAGGGTCAAGGTAGTGGGCAAGGTCAACGTGCCTTGCATCAACACGCCGTGGCTTGTCGAGCTCGAAGAGAGCCTGTGTGCGGCGCTTGCCCGTGGCGCCGGGTCACTGTTTGTTGGCGCGCCTGTGGCCAGGGCCGAGAGCTCGGTCGCGACGTGGCTCAACTCGCACCTCCTCCGGGGTGGGTTGGAAACGTCGATGCCGCGCGGCGTTGCAGAAGCGCGGGCCCAGCTACGTGCCGTTGCAGATGGCCAGGTTGCGGTCGACGCGGTTGTGACCGAGGAGGCTGCCCTCGTCCAGATGCTTTCGTCGCTGCCGGGAAGCGCGCGGCGAGAGGCGGTGGAAGCGTGGGCGCAGCCGGACGGCAACTTGCTTGCTGGGGTCGAGACGCTGGTGGCAGCTGCCAAGGGGAGCGTCTCGCGTGGCCACGCGTACATGGCGCTCAAGGAGAGCGACGAGCTCGCGGAACTTGAGCGGACCGTCTTTGCAGTCCTCGTCAGGCACCACGGACTCGAGGGGCTGGCGCTGCGGTACATCCGGTCGCTTCCAACTGGCGGTGAAGCGAGCGCTCGGGCTGGCGAAGAGTCGACGCTCAAGCGGCGCAAGCGGCCGGCGGCGTTGTCGGTCACTGTTTCAAGCAGCGGAGACGCAGTTCCGCCCGAGCTTGTGGCGGTGTGGAAGCGAGCTCTTGGGGTGCGGCGGTGGGCGACGTTCGAGTCACGCGACTCGCCCGAGCTCGTGGCTATGGTCACCAGCAAGGCGCGGTTCCTGCTCGGCCTGGTGCCGACGGCTGCACGACAGGCCTTGCCCAAGTTTTCGCTCGGCGACTTGGCTGAGGCACAGGGCTCGCTCCGCGACCTGTTTGCGACGTGGAAGACGCGCCGTGGGCGCGAGCCCGGCTCGGCGCAAACGCCCAAGATTCCGAAGCATCCACGGTTGGCGTCGAACGCGTCGGATGAGCTCGAGGTGGAGCTGTCGTCGGTGCCGGAGACCGACGCGCGAACGGCCGCGTCGCTCTCGGCGGACATCTCGCTCTTCCTCAAGTCGGACAGTGTCGAGCTTGACGCGGTCCTGGATGGGATGGTGGCGCGTTGTGCCCGCGCCGAGGGCCGTGCCGACGCGCTGCAGCTCTTCCATCAGCTGCTGGTGACGACCGACGTGCGCGGGAGCGGGCCGATTCTGTTTGCACTTGGGCTTGCGCTGCGGGCGCGGGCGCCGACAGAGGGCCGCACCTTGCACCACTACCTCGACCACGTCGAGGGCGCCCACGTCGAGTGTGCCATCCGCATCGCCACCACCTTTGAGGCCGTCCTCGTGGAGACGGTGCGGGTGTGGCGCGAGTCACGCGACGATCAGCCAGCGCTGCGCAAGATGGTGGCCGAGTTGTGGAACCAGCAGTTCCGCAAGGCGGACGTCAAGCTTGTAGCGTCATCGGGCATGCTTGAGGCGGCGTGGGAGCGGACCAAGTTTGCGCGTGGGGCGGCGGCGACCGACGGCGATGCTTGCCGGCTCGACGAGGTGTACACCGCGCTGTACCGTGCGCTCGCTGCGACGGCGCTTGTCCAGCACAACGGCGAGAGTGACAGTGACGAGGCTGAAGTCGTCATCGGCGGCGGCGGCGGCGGCGGCGAGGGCAGGGCTGCAGGGCTCCCCCTCATGACACCGCACGTGTCGACGTTGCCTCTTGCCACTCGGGATGCGCAGGTGATACAGAGCGCGACTGGCGAGCTCATTTTTGCGTCGATGAAGCAAGCGATGACAAACAGCAATGCGGAGGTGATGGATGGCATGCTGAAAGTGGCGGCGAGCCTTGGTGCTTCGCCGCTGGTTGCTGAAACGTTTGCTTCTCCGAGCACAGTGACGCTGCTCCTGGAGTGGGCTAATGCCGAGACAATCAGCCTGACAACACGGCAGGGCCTTGTGCGGCTGGCGGCGCGGAGCTTGCGGTTCGCGCCGCAGTCGCCTGCAGCAGCCCGCGACTCGGGTGAGGCGTTTGACGCGGCGGTGGCGCGGCGTGGAGTGCTCGATGAGGTGCTGGCGCGGGTGAGTGCCCATGTGGTCGGCAAGAAGCCGACGAGTGTGCCGAGTACAGCCGCGGTGACGGTGTCGAACTCGGACACAACGCGGATCGTGCTTCTTCATGAGCTTGTGGGCTTTGTGCAGGCTGCGCTCGAGGCTGGAGCGTGGCGGCGGTTGGCGCTCGAGATGGTGACAAGCGCGCTGGCGACAGCCCCGGCCGCTATCGACGCCTCCAGCGAGACGCCGGAGGAGGTTGAGGCGGTGTGGCGGCCTGTGCTGGCAGCAGTGTACATGGCCGGTGGCCTGCGTCCGGCAGTGATGGTCGGTGCTGTGGTCGAGGTTTCCGGCGACGAGGCGAAGCGCGACGGACTAGTGGTTGGCGTCGACAGCGCGACGTCGCTGGCATGGTCAGACAAGCGGGCGTCGACGACGGCCGAGGTGGTGCATACGATCTCGCGTGATGGTGGGTTTGAGCCGAGCGCCTCGTCGGTGGCGCTCACTAGCCTCGAGCCAATGGCAGAGCTGGGGCATTCACTGCTTTCACCTGACGACGCCGCAGGTCCGCTGGCTGCACTCGTGGTTGCGAGTGAGGATGTGGACGACGTGTCGGTAGCCTGGTTTGTGCGCGAGGCAAAGGCCGCGGCGCTGGTGGCGCTGGGGCGGATGATGGCAGTTTGTGGAAGCGGGAGCGACAGCTCCTGCGTCGAGAGCACGCTTGTCGAAGCGGTGGTGGCGCTTGCCGGGCGCCACGTCCCACTGTCGAGCCTCCGACACCCGTACGACATCGAAGGGTACCGCCGGCTGCTGGCGCAACACAACACAGGGCCTGAAGACGGCATGGGCGTGAGCCTATCGGGGACAAAGAGTGCCACGGCGTTGATGGAGGAGATGCCGTTTGCCGGTGTCTATTTCGATTGGGAGCTCGACGTCTTGTCGGACGACGAGAGCGAGGACGAGACCGGCAACGGTGACAGCGGCGGTGGCGATGGCACGGTCGATGCCGATGACGTCGAGCTCGACCTCACCGAGTACTGGCTTGAATGTCATGCGCGGAGAGCGAGCTGGCGCGGTAAGGTTCCTGTCTACCGACTGGATGTGGGCAACGAGGTGGCATTTGCGGCGATCTCAGACCGGAGCCAGTTGGTGGCGAGCGAGCCGCTGGATCCGGTCTCAGTTGACGGTGACGGCCAGGTCACAGTGGAAGAATTTGCTAATGCCGAGGCTCTCTCCGGCAACCTTGTGTTTGTTGCCGCTGGCGGCGATGGCTGGCCGAGTGGGGCGCTGGTACAAGTGCTGGCGCAGGCTGCCGCCACCGGGTGTATCGGCGCGGTGGTGCAACTCCCAGGCGCGCCGGCCACAGTCAAGAATGGCGCACTGACAGTCGACCAGGTGATGGCGAGCGAACGCGCAGTCAGTGGCACCGAGGCTGCGACCGCGCTGGATGCGCTGGCAAAGTCGGCTATGGCATGTGCTGCCGTCTTTGGTGAGCATGGCGACTTTGTCTCGCGTGGGCTTGGGGTGCTTATCGGCAAGCCGGATGATGCAGGTGCGAAAAGCTCTGGCGAATCTGACGGCGCGGGTTGCGAACACCATCAACTGTTGCGGCAGTTTGTGGCTGACGACGTGTCGAGCTCGGATGGGGCAGCCGCGGCTGTAGTGCTTCCAGGCGAGGTGGCGGCTGCGGCGCTCGCGAGCCAAGAGCTGGCGGACGAAGCCAGCGACGGCGAGTTTGTGAGTGTGGACCTCGATGCGCTGACAGCGAGCATGGCTGTGAAGGACAAGTCTGCGAGTGGTTGGCCCAAGCCGAGCGATGTGGACGTGTGCGCAATGGAGACGCAGCTCCAGGAGGCGTTGTGCATTCTCTCTGCGCGACGGGTGCTGACCGAGATGCTCAAGAGTGGCACGCTCAGTGCTGAGATGTATGCGCTGCTGCCACCTTTGGTTCAGGCGGTGAGCGTGACTCTGCGAGCAGGGGTCAAGACGGAGCTGTCGACGCTTGCGGAGCCGGTGGTGATGGCGATGGTCAATGAGTGTGACCAGAAGCAGGCAGTCTTGGCTGCACTGGAGCAGGCGGCGCTGGGGTCTCTGGCGATGGTGGCGCGGCCGTGGCTGGCGAACGGCCCGGGCGGGCGGCACGCAGCGTTGTGCTCACAGGAACAACGACGGAAGTGGTGACGCTTCCGGTGGCGGACAGCAGCGCGGGCGGGTGTCGAGTGGTTCGGTTTGGGCCACAGACGGTCATTCCGCCAGGGCTCGCCATCTCGATCGTAGTTGACGGAGTGTCAAGCGGCACGGTGGACCCACAGGCGATGGTGCCTGTGCTCGTTGCCGGCCACACGTTCACTGTTTCGAGCGTGATCATGCCGGGCAGCGAGGAGAAAAAGAAGGGGAAGCAGTTGTTTGCCAGGCTCGATCTCCAGATTGCTGCGACGGAGAGCAGCTCGGTGGAGAAGGTAGCGCAGGCTGGCGGGAGTGTGGAGCTTGCGGCATGGCTGCTGCGAGTGCTCGCGACGACCGAGGGCTACTCTGTGACGCCAGAAGTTGTGCGCGAGGCTGGGCGTGCGCTGCAAGCAAGCCGTGGAGGCCGGCGGCTGCGTGTGACGGAGCTTGTGCGTGATTTGGTGCGACAGCGTGGTGAGCTCGATGGTGTGGCGCGTGCTGGGCTACAGTGGCTTGTCGACGGGCTGCGGGCCAAGGTGCGGAGCGACAAGCCGAAGAGGAGCGGCCTTGTGGCACAGGAGCTGCAAGCTCTGTTTGACGTTTATCTCGCTGTGGTGAGTGCTAGCAACGGGGCTGATGCGCCAGGAGCCGAGGCAGAGCGCAGCGCGGGCACGAGCGCGAGCGCGAGCGTGAGTGGGTCGGGCCAGAACAAGGGCAAGGAAGAGGTGGAGGACGATGTGGGAGGCAGACTCTCGCTACTTGCGCTTGAGGAGGATGGCGGCAAGATGACGCCGGACGTGGAGCCGCCGAGTCTCGCAGCGCAGTACACGTCGCATGCGATCCGCGAAGGGCCGCTTGACGACGAGCCACGGGTGTACCAGACGTGGATGGAGAGCCGCGGCGATGGGACGTTCCACTGTACAAGGTCGTTTGGGACAGTGCGCGGCGATGTTGTGGTGCACTCGGGAGCGTGGCAGTACGAGGTGACTGCCGAGTCTGTGAGCGAGCTCATGATTGGGTGGGCAACGCCGGAGTTTTTCAGCGAGACGAGTCACGACGGATGCGGCGACAACGTACATGGGTGGTCGTGGGACCCGAGCTATCGTCAGCGGTGGCACAATGGGAACTACTCGACGTGGCCAGAGACGTCACCGACGTTGTCGCAGGGAAGCGTGATCGGAGTGATGGTGGACATGGAGGCGGGGACGACGCGGTACAGCGTGAATGGAAACGAGGTCGGCGAGCCGTACAACGATGTGTCGGCAACAAGCCTGATTGCTGCAGTGTCGCTCTCATCGGGCGGGTCTGTGCGAGTCAACTTTGGCACGCAGCCGTTTGTGTATCCGGAGCCTGGCTACCTCCCGCTAGCGGTGGGTGCCGAGTCGAGCGTGATGGCGACCGCTGCGGTGAGCAAGGGCGACGGTCAGGCAAACCCCAAGGCAGAGGCGAAGGCGGAGATGTACGTGGCGGGTCTGGAGCAGACAGATGCGGCGCTGCGGAGCGTGCTCGCGTCTCGCGATCTGCCTGAGCGGGTGTACACTTCTGCTCTACAGCAGTACCGCAAGCGTGTGGCCAGAGTCGGGCCGCGCAGTCTGGCAGTTGTGGGACGATGCGGGGAGACGCGCAGTCGAGCAAGGCGACGCGAAGCGTGTTTTCCGGTGCAGCGAAGCGAGGCAAGGCGACGACTGTGGTTGGCGACCGTGTTGTTGTGGCGGGTACGCTCGCGCACGACGCTGCATCGTTCGAGACGGCACCGTGGATGTCTGTGATGGGCGTGAGCGGGACGGTCTACTCCATCGGATCTGTCGAGGCACCGAGCCAGGCGTTTGTGTACGTGGTCGACGAGGCTGTGACGCAGAGCGAGGAGCTTGCGGCTCTTGCGGCTCAGCTTATTGTGCCGGCCGACTCGGACGCGTTTGGCAAGCTTGCGGCGGGAGACGCGGCGGTACGTGCGGACGAACGCAATGTGTGCGAGCCTGTGGCGATGCTCAAGCCGAGCGACGGCATGTCGCGGATGGAGAGCGTAATGCGAACGTTTGGTGGCGAGTGCATGGGCGAGGCGACGGCGTTTGCCGTCCGGGCGCACACGTCGCGGCTTTTGTCTATGGACGAGGTGAATGAGTCGGACGAGGCGCGTGCGAGCATGATTGTGGGCCGCAGCGTGATTGTCATTGTGCAAGGAAGCGATACGGGCCCGAGCCTGGAAGCATGCCATGTAGCGGTAAGCGGGTTTGGGCTGATGGAGGCGTCGGCCGGGCTGCATCCTGCGAGCGGTGTGACATGGAACAACTCGCAGTGGAGCAGCGAGCAGGACCGCGAGCTGCTTGAGTATGCGGAAGCGCAGGCGCGAGTCCTAGGCAGGCCGCTGAACGCGGAGCTATGGGTAGGCGCGCTGGGTAACGCGCCGCCGATGCGGTACCCTTCGCTTCGTGGGGTGAGCATGGATGCGCTGCGTGCGCGGTTTGTGGTTCTTGCGGCGATCAACGAGCTTGCGGCAGACTTTCTGCCGCTTGTGGATCTGAGCCGGAGCGACGACGCGGGCTCTGTGGCAGCGATGGTGTGCGCCGGGCGCGGGGTACTGATGCGGATGATCAAGTCGCCGCAGATGTCTGCCGTGCTAGAGGCGACGACAGGCGAGTCCAAAGGGTCACGCGAGATCAAGATCAACCGGCTGAAGGCGACGCAGGCGCGCGAGGCTGTGGAAAGCGGAGCACTGAGCGCGTCGGAGCGTGCGGCGAGGTGCATGGTGGGCCAGGCAGCGGAGCTGGTGGTGACGTGGCCGGCGGCTGCGCTGCGGTCTCGAAGCGACCAGCTGTGGAAGATCAAGTTCCTCAACGAGGGCTCTGTGGACGCTGGTGGGCCGTACCGAGAGATGTTCTCCAACTGGTCGGCAGAGCTGATGACGGCCGGGCTTGTGGATGTGCTCATTCCGTCGCCCAACATGGTGCACGGACTCGGCGAGACCCGTGATGCATGGGTTGTGCGGCCGGGCGCGACCGGGGTCCGTGACCAGGTTGTGATGCGGTTTGTGGGTCGGCTGATGGGAGTGGCAGTGCGGACGTCGGAGACGCTGGACCTCGCGCTGTGCTCGCTGGTGTGGAAGGCAGTTGTTGGCGAGGCACGCGACATTAGCGACCTGGCGATGGTGGACACCATGGCTGCGCAGGCACTGGCGTATGTGGAGCGGATCGATGAAGAGGGCGTGGACGCGAGCTGCTTCACGGACATCATCGACGAGATGTTTGAGGCGACGCTGTCTGACGGGACGCGTGTGGAGGTTCTGCCGGGCGGCAGTAGCGAGCCGGTGACGTTTGAGCGACGGCACGAGTGGGTGCGGCTGGTGCGGGAGGCGCGGCTGGCCGAGGCAGACGCGGCAATGACAGGGCTCCTCTTTGGGCTCCACGAGATTGTGCCTGCGCCTGCGCTTGCTCTGCTCACGTGGCGCGAGGCCGAACAGATGGTGTGTGGGTCGCCGGTTGTGGACCTGGAGGTGCTCCGCGCGGCAACGCAGTACGAGAAGAACATCCGCGAAGACGCGCTGGTGGTGACGTACCTGTGGCGGGCGCTCGGTGAGTTTGAACAGGACGACCTCAAGCTGTACCTCAAGTTTGTGTGTGGGCGGACGCGGCTAGGGGCGACCGGGACGGCTGGCCTCAGCTTTAAGATCGACGCGCACACCAGCGCGAGCGACCCCAACACGGCCATGGTCCAGTCGCACTCCTGCTTCTCGACCATCGACCTCCCGCTCATGACCGACGATAGTGAGGCCGGGTACCTCGGCTTCAAGCAGCGTCTGCTGTTTGCCATCCGTAACTGCGCATCAGTGGACACTGACTTTGTGGTGTAGACAAGAGCATCGCTATAAAATAAAGCACGCCCAGCCCGTGCATGGCCCCCATCCGTGCCGCAGCAAACGCAGTGCCCCGCACAGGGCTGCTGAGTTGCCGCCGATGATCGGCGTCCTGCTTGTCGTGCTGAACAAGGGTCAGTGCTTGAGGCGGACTATATGAGCGTGGTGGATCCATCGCGACGGATTGAAAGTTGTGTATTTTCAGAGATCGCTCTTTTTCTTGAGAGTGAAACTGCCGACTACGCATGCATGCCGTACAGACGCCATATTTGCATGGCACTTGTTTCAATGAGTTGCTTACACCAGCAGCTACCTATCAACACACTCATCATGATGCTGCTTGTTCTCTACCAGAAATCGTTCTCCCCTATCGCCACTGTGGCAGCCATGGCAAATCGGCCACGGGCCGCACCATATCGCCGTGTCACCACATCGGCTCGTCCCCGTGTCACTACATCTCGCCGTGTCACCACATCGGCTCGTCCCCGTGTCACCACATCTCGCCGTGTCACCACATCGGCTCGTCCCCGTGTCACCACATCTCGCCGTGTCACCACATCGGCTCGTCCCCGTGTCACCACATCTCGCCGTGTCACCACATCGTCTCGTCCCCGTGTCACTACATCTCGCCGTGTCACCACATCGGCTCGTCCCCGTGTCACCACATCTCGCCGTGTCACCACATCGGCTCGTCCCCGTGTCACCACATCTCGCCGTGTCACCACATCGTCTCGTCCCCGTGTCACTACATCTCGCCGTGTCACCACATCGGCTCGTCCCCGTGTCACCACATCTCGCCGTGTCACCACATCGGCTCGTCCCCGTGTCACCACATCTCGCCGTGTCACCACATCGTCTCGTCCCCGTGTCACCACATCTCGCCGTGTCACCACATCGTCTCGTCGCCGTGTCGCGATTTGCGACTTGCGACTTGCGACACACACAGCACTCGGCATGACGGAGGCTAAGCCCGAGGCAGGCATTGGCGGGCGGGTGGTGGGACTGAGCGAGAGCACGGCGAGTATATGGACCGAGGCGGGGAGTGTGAGCTCGACGGGCGTGGGCGTGGGCGTGGGCGAGGACGGGCTCGTGGCGGGCAAGCAGGCAACGACGGAAAGACGGCGACGGCGACGGCGGCGCGGAGGCGGCGGTGGTGGCGGTGGCGGTGGCGGTGGTGGACGGCGGACAAGCAAGCGATGGCAAAGACGGCGGCGGGCGAATTCGATCATTTCCGAGTGTTCGGACGGAGGAGTGGCGAGCCAGCAGACTCGGGCGGTGGATGCCGAGTTGGGGCATTTGCGGGCGTCGCGGGCACTGCAGAGGCGACGGATCTTGTGGCCGGTGGGCCCGACGGGCCGGCATGCGCGTGGGCGGTTTGCTGAGGTCAAGCTGCTGGCGACGGTTGATCGGAGCGGTCGTCGACGGATACACGGCCGGGAGGAGTTTGATCGGCTGGAGGCTGTCGAGGCCGAGGTGGCGGCCATGGCAGAAGCGGAGGCGGCTGCGAAGTTGCAGGCGCAGGCCGAGACCGGCTCCGGGCTGGGACGGTGGTCGTTGTCGTCGTCGTTGTCAGGCTCAAGCTCAGGGCCGGAGCCGGGGTCAGAGTCGGAGCTGGGCTCAGGATCGGGCGAGGCGCGTCCGGCAATGCGGCGGAAGCGGATGCTGTTTACTTCGGTGAGAGCGCTGGTGGTGTGCCAGCAGTACGAGGACATAGCGTGGCTGGCTGGCGCGATTGAGGCCGGAGGCGAGAGTGAGCGACCTGTGCGGATCCAGACGATGGAGGCGCTGGCGCGGGCAAAGAACGTGCATGGGCGACTGCCGGCGTATCTGCGGTGGACGCGGCCGGCGCTGCGGTACGCAAACCGGCCGCGGCTGGCGCTCGACGATTACTGGGACGCGGTCGACGGCGATGACCTGACTGCAGCGCGGCGGTGGCCGGAGCTACTGCCGCATAAGCTGATGGCGGCATATTCGCGGCGGCGCGGCGGCGGGTCGCGGACCGAGTCTGCCTCTGACTCGGGTTCACCGGCGGGGATTCAGATCGGCGTCCCGGCACTGCGGACTGCGGCGTCGATGCGGTCGCTGCTGTCGTCGGCGTCGTCGTCAGACTCACTTTCGGACAGCCACACATCGTCGGCAGCGTCGCCGCCGCCACACATGCTCCGGTCGCGGTCGACATCGCCGCTACTCATGCCGTCGGACTCGTTCATCCACCCGATGGCTGTGTCGTGGTCGCGGACGGGTCCGTCGCTCTCGATCTCGCTCTCGGACATTGGCTGTTCAAGCGAGTCGTCGAGCGAGGGCGGCGCTGCGGCACGGGAGGCGTTACTTTAGATCAAAGAGGTAGTAGATGACCTGAACTGTGAGGACGATGAGCGGGTTCCACACGACGAGGGCGCGGATGGCGGAGAGGAGATTGCCCCAGAAGATGGACTGCGACTCCCACGGGTTGCGGAACATGGCCTTGAGGTTGACCTTCTCGGTGCAGAACGGGCAGGTGTCCTTCTTGCCGATGATGGTCCAGCCGCGGATACAGAACTCGTGAAAGGCGTGCTTGCAGTCGAGCTCGCACACCTTTTCGGTCTCATCAAAGCGGTCGAGGCCGTCGCCACAGATGGCGCAGACGTCGGGATTGAAGCGGCGTGATGCGAGGCCGTCGTCCTTACCGGTCTTGATGCCCATGGAGACAGCCATGGACGAGGTGGCGAGCTCTGCCGCATCGCGAGAGAGAACGCCATAGTAAAGGCCATAGAAGAGCATGAGGGAGCCGTAGTAGGCGAGCGAGTGCGAGTCTGAGAGGAGGTGTGTGACGCCAAAGAACTCTGCCATGACGAGGATGTAGCCGATGACGCCGATGGCGTAGAAGAGGCGATAAAAGGCAGAGAACCATGTGTAGACGAGGCGAGGAGTGCGTTGATGGAGAGGCTTGCGCGATGCCTTGAAGCCGAGCCATGCGGTGACGACGGTAAAGGTGATCCAGACGACGAGCATGCGACCGTAGCCGTGATAGAGCGAGAGGATGGCCGGGAAGAGCCAGAGACCCAGGAGAGAGACCATATGGTAGGAGCGGGCATGGCGCGACTTCCAGAGATGCAGACCGATCTGTGCCCCGATCATGGCGGCGACAAGGATGAAGAACATGGCAGAGTGCATGGACTCGTGGCCCGCATGGGTCACGGCCTCACGGGCCTCCTCCTCGCTCATGCCCTGCGCCACAGCCGCTGCTATGGCTGCCGTCATGTTGGTGCCCGGCGGCGGTGGGGTGGCCATGGCGGTAGCGGTGGTGGTGGTGGTGGTGGTGGTGGTAGTAGTGGTGGTGGTGGTGTGTGTGGTGTGTGTGGTGTGTGATGGTGGTGCTGGTGGGGGCAGGGAAGGGGGTGGGGGTGGGGGTGGGAGGGGAGGGGTGCCGTCCGACGTGGCGGGTGGTGGGCGGGGAGGGAGTGGCGGTGGCTGGCGGCGAATGGCGCGGTGGCTGTGTTTGGGAGGGGGGGGTGGTGGTGGCAGTCGTGGTGAATGGCGCGAGTGGCTGTGTTGGGCGGGGGG